GGCCGCACTGCGGCGCCTGGCTCCTGCCGGCCATGCAGCCCCTGCCTGGAACTGGAGCCGGAGGCGGGAGGCGGCGGTGGAAACCTCCCGAGGAGACCCCCGGGGGAGCGGGATTCACTCCCAACTGTCCCAGGAAGCCGTAGACACAGCCACCGCGTTCACCTGCTTCGTGGGTTGGGCTGTGTTATTATCATCCTGCTTACGGATGGGGAAACTGAGGCAGAAGTCTTCAGTGACTTGTCTTCCATTTATCCAGGAGGTAAGGTTTCGGGGCTTAGTTTTGAACACGGGTCTCATGGCAGAGCCTCTGTTCGCATCATCTTCTGGGACATTTGAGGAGACTTGAAAGGCTAAGTATGGTCTGGCCCGGGCCCATTGGTTGCAAGGGAACCTAGGTTGTAAAAGGTGGGCGTTGTCACTATCAACATGGCTCCCTCCGACCCCCCCCCCCTGGCATCCCCAGGCCTCCTGTGCCCTTGTGGCAGTGACAGCTGCTAAACGCCTGGGAAACCCCCAACAGCTTTGCCCTTCCTGGGCCACAGTGCCTAGGGGGCGGCCGCTGCTGGCAGGTTACCCAGCAGCCATCCGGCCTAGGAGAGTTAGGAAGGGGGCCCGCCCTGCCCTGGAGCCTCACCACCAGTGACAATATTTGCCAAGGGCCTGAGGCCTACCAACGAACAGGAAGGTGAGGAGGAGCCTGTGCTACCTGGCAGCCGGTAGCCTCTGTCCATCAGTATGGCTATGTGTCTGTCTAGCCTGGGTCTGAGAGGTTAGATGCTGGGTGGCAGGGGGAAACACCCTGGCCTGGGAGAGGGCTGTCTGATAAAGTTTTTTTTGCCTTGATAGTTTTGGTTTGCGTGACTTTGACCACATCCTTTACAATCCTAGATTTCTGGTCCCTCCTTTGGAAAACACAAGGAGGCTGGGCTAGCTGCTCACCTTCCTGAAATCTGGAGCTTGGTTAGAGGTCTCAGTAGCACTCAGCTGGGTCAGGAGAGAAGGAAGACATGGAGCAAAGGATCACATTAAGGAATCTTCAATTTGGAGGCTGAAAGCTACATGCGTCTCTCTTCCTCACACCTCCACATCTGTGCCTAACTTCCCTCTACAAAGCCTGAGCTTTTCTTGTCTCTTGCTGTCCTTGCAGGCCTCCCGGGGGCAGCAGGTTCTCACTTCCAGCACACAGGGAACCATCCAGACCTGCCTTCCTGTGAGGACCCAATGGTCTTTAAGGCTGCACCATCCCTCATCAGTGTCAACCCCCCCCCCCCCACTTCTGAGCTGAGGAGGACGGATGCAAGACAATCCTCACTGCCACTACATTCACTTAGGCACTCTACAATCAGGGAGGCCTACTCAGCCTGCTCTGGACAGGACAATCAGTGGAGAACAAACCAAGCCTCAATTTATGAAATATGTTTAAGTCTTCAGAAGAATATAAGCAGCTAGGCCCCCCAGTGGCTCAAACTTGTAATTCTAGCTACTCAGAAAGCTGAGATCTGGAGGATCATGGTTCATAACCAGCCTAGGCAAAAATGTCTGGGAGACTTCATCTCCAATTAACCAGCAAAAGGCCAAACTGTAGGGCTTTGCATGGCAGCATGGCAGCTATGATCAAGAAAGCGGAGTGAGAGTGGATGGCTCTGAGTTCAAGCCACTGCACCAGCAAAAGGGAAAGAAGAATATAACAAATGAAATGACCTCAATAAAATGACCACTCAATTTTGTTAAGTATTAACACTGTATCCCATTTATTTCATAGTCTTCTTCCTTTTTTCCCCTCTTCTTTTTTTTGTGCCAGTCCTGGGGCTTTAACACAGCCTAGACACTGTGCTTGAGCTGCTTTTGCTCTACCACTTGAGCCACAGCTCCACTTCTGGCTTTTTTTTTTTTGTAGTTTTATTAGAGATAGAGTCTCATGGACTTTCCTGCCTAGGCTGGAATCTCAATCCTCAGATCAGCCTCCTGAGTAGCTAGGATTACAAGCATGAGCCACCAGTGCCCGTCTTCAAATAAATAACATTAGAGATCATGGAGGTCCCTGTGGAAACTCCTTCTAGTTCCCTGTTTTTATTTGTTTGTCTAGTATGTGAAGGTCTAAAAAATAGTTTGTTGTTACTTTGAAGTTTTGGTATTAGTACATAGCATTACACAGCATACGCCATTCTGTAGCTTGCCTTTCCTTATTCAGTGTCAGGTTTCTGAGGTTTAGGCTTCCTGATTGCTCAGCTCTGGTCCCCCTTGAGCTGACATCCTGTCTAAAGACTTCCCCATATTATTTACCCTTCTTAATGGCCATTGAGGTGGTTCCTCATGCCTTGCTATTCACTCAGAATATTCTTCTATGGGGCTGGGAAGGTGGCTCAGTGGTAGAGCGCTTGCCTTGCATGCATGAGGCCCTGGGTTCGATTCCCCAGCACCACATAAACAAAAAGAAAAAAAAAAGCTGGATTCTATGGCTGTCCTGTGTACATGGGTATGTTTATCCTAATAGTGGAATTCCAGTCATACGGTATTGGCTTAAGCTTTAGTTTCATTATTTGATCAGTGCTTCTCACAAAAGAAATTATGTCAATACATAACATGAAGAAAAATAATCACCAGCATTTTCCGTTGTGCTTTAAGATGGTATATCATTCCTCACAACAACCCTGGGATGTAAGTATATTAGGTCTGCTTCCTTGATAAGGAAACTGAGGCTCACTGAGTTTAAAGAACTTTCTCAGATTATGAAACAAATAGCTGCTGAGCTGAAGCTTGAGTCCAAAGTTGTCTGTTTTCAACACCCTTGAGGGCCATACTGCGTTAGGTTATCCCATGTGGTACTTGTTTTATGTTCCACTAAAGAGAACCGTTCATAATTTGGAGAAGTCACTTTGGACATGACCCCTTGTCATGGATGTTTGTACTCCACCCGTTAGCCAGAGGACCTCTCCTCCCACCCCCCTCACTTCAGTGGCTCCAGTTTGCTCCAAGTGGCTTTACCCCCCTGCCACATACTCACCTCTCCTTGACTGAGGTAGGGGTCGAAGGGTCCCTCTGTTACCTTGTCCATAAGGCACTAAGGTAACAGTGCAGGCAGACTAGGTAGGAAGATGGGAAGGGACTGGAGAGTGGGACCATCCAACTCCTTTCTCCCTTAGGCTTCCTTTGGGTGAGATCTGAACATAGTGTTAGGCCTCTGGTATTGTTCACCATGCCTTAGTGTCCCCAAGATCATTATTACCATAGAACACATGTTGTATGTGTTTCAGTTGAGCACCCAGTGGCTCACATCTGTAATCCTAGCTCCCAAGGAGGCTGAGACCTGGAGGGTTGAGGTTTAAAACCAGTCTGGACAGAAAAGTCCAAGAGATTCCATCTTCGCTTAATCAGAAAAATGCTGGACTGTAGGTGTGGCTCAAGTGGTAGTGTACCAGCTGAAAGAGAGAAACGTTGAGTGAGCGTGTGAGGTCCTGGGGAGAAGTAGTGATGGATGTCCCGGTCAGGCAGGGAGAGATGTTTGTATTCTTCCATGTGCCTGGGAGGCATCAGACTCCATTGGTCTCCACTGCCTTCCCTCTCTAATCTGTCAATTGCAGATAAGAGGTACTAGTAGGAGGATTAAACAAAATAATACAGTTGCCAATTTAGATACAACGTCCGTGATTGAGTGAATGGTAGTCTGGTGGGAGGCGGGGAGTTGGGACTGCTATTTTGAAGCCTTGTGGTGCCAGCGCCCTCAGCCTTCCAGGGCTCCCCAGCCAGCCTCAACCTCACCTCTCCTCTCCTTTCCTCCTAGCAGTCTTTCCAGAACCTCTGTCTTCCAGTCTTTCCAAACTACTGTGCCTCTTAAATGTGGTGGTGTGGTTTCAGCCCTTTCTTTTTCCTTGCTGCCTTCCATTCATTGCCATATAGATTCCTCGAGTTCCCCAAGCTGCTTGGAGGCCTCTTCAACCCCAGTGATCTCTAAGATTACAGCCCTGATCACTGACTGTCCCTGCTTCTGCTTCATCTGTCCCAGAGCCAGCCCAGGATGGAAGCTTACTGGATGCTTATGGAAGGGAGGGAAGGCAAAACCAACCCCAGGCTTGCTCCCAATCTAGGGAGAGTCATTACTGCAGACCCACTTCATCTCAGGTAAACTGAGGAGGTGCTAAGGCTGCCAAGGGAGCAAGTGTCTGTCCATCAGGCTGTGCATCTTTCCCGGTAGACAAACTGAATGGAAACTCTAATTGGTACATGTGTGTGATGTGTATGGAGAAACAAGAGGCAGGCTCTTGGATCTGGAACTGAGAGATGGACATAAACCATGGCAATGGACTTGACTTCCTAAGGCTGAGCAGATAAGCATTGGCTTGGGTAGAACCTTGGTTTAGAATCCATATTTGGACCACTGGGCTGTGGGCTGGTGGCTTATGCCTATAGTCCTCGCTACTCAGGAGATGGAGATCTGAGGATTTTCCTTCAAAGCTAGCCTGGGTAGAAAAGTCTGAGGGAATCTATCTTTAATTAATTAGCAAAGAAGTTGGACTAGAGGTGTGGCTCAAGTGGTAGTGTGCTAGCCAGGAGTGAAAAAATCAAGCAAAACCTCAGGAAGACCTGAGGAGTTCAAGCCCTGCTACCACTACCACACACACACACACACACACACACACACACACACACACACACACACACACACACATGCAGAGCCTAGATTTGGACATGTGGCCTTAGCCAAGTTACACATATTCTGTGCCTCAGTTTCCTCATCTACAATGGGGATAATAATCCTATTTTCACAGGTGTTTTGAGAAGTCAAGGAAAGAATGCTACTGAATACACAGGGCAGTGGGTGCTCATGATCGCCTCACTGATTCATCCAACAGAGACAGATGTTTGAATATCAGTTTCTAGGCTAGGTTCTGGACACAAGACAGACATCCTCTGGCCTTATGAGGAGAGGGCTGGGGTAGCGAAATTTTAGATCAGAGGCCTTTGAGACCAATAGAATTGGAAGCCAGTGATATGGGCATATCCAAACTTTAAAAAGCTATCTTCTGCTATTATGAGAGGGATGGGCTAGAAGAATAATTCTTCCAACAATCTGCCTTCAAAATAGCTATCTGAGCCAGGCACCTGTGGCTCACGCCTATAATCCTAGCTACTCAGGAGGCTGAGCTTTGAGGATCAAGGTTCAAAGCCAGCCTGGGCAGGAAAGTCCATGAGACTCTTATCCCTAATTAACCATCAGAAAACCAGCTGTGGCACTGTAGCTCAAGTGGTAGAGTGCTCACCTTGAGCTGAAGAGCTCAGGGACTGCCCAAGCCCAAAGTTCAAGACTCACGACTGACCAAAAAAACAAAAAGCAACTATCTGGAAGCTGGATGGGTTACACCAAGCAAGCCTGGTGTGCTGATGCACACATACAGTCCCAACACCCAGGAAGCTGAAATAGGATGAAAGTTCAAGGTCAGTCTAGTTCATATGGGGAACACAGAGAGATCCTGATTCAAAAAAGTGACAAAAGGGGAATTGGGGGGGAGCAGGTCAGGAAAGTAGGAGAAAAATGAGGGAAGTGGTAACAAGTTTGAAAAGAAATGTACTTATTACCTTACTTATATAACTGAAATCGCATAGAGTTAAAGAAGTAGACTGGAAGCAAGACAAAGCCACAACAGCTTAGGTACCTTCAGACTTAGAAACCATGACCATGAACTCCTAAACTGGACTAGCAGCATACATGGCCTCAGGGGTGGAAGTGCCTCAGGGATCCTGGCCAAAGTAATGAACACCCATTTTAGAGGGCTGGGTCCTCCTGCCAAGGGCCTCCAAGTTCACAGGTAAAATTAGAACACGCACAAACAAGCCACTGCAAACGACAGGCACCAGAAACAACAAATAGTGTTCCTCTCAGAGTCTAAAGTGCTAGAATGATGAGTGATCGTATATAATTAATCAGTCATGCTTAAGATAGGTAAAGAAATTGAAGCTGAGCTTGAAACAATAAACAAGGAACCAGATATGGCCTAAAATAACTAAACAGATATGAAAAAGAACAAAGTGGAATTTCTGGAAATAAAAAAAAAATAATGTACTCAATGTCATGAAAAGCTCTGTAGCTCAGGTAAGTAGTAGATCAGATGGAACTAGTAAAGAGGACTTGGTAAAATCAAAGATCTAAACAAAGCACTCGGTATTTGGGAGGCTAAGCCTGGAAGACCAAAGCCTGGATCCAACTAAGCTACAGAACAAGACCTCATCTTCAAAAACAAAGTAAAACAAAACAAAATACCAGAACCTAACAAAGGCAAAGATAGTAAAGAAGCAAGTTAGGGCTAAATGTAGTGCTCATACCTGTAACCCCTTCTACTTGGGAGGTAGACTACATGAGGATCCACTTAGCAAACATTAGAGAATGATAAGATCTATAGAGGGCCAGCCTGTAATCCTTGCTACACTGGAGGCTGAGATCTGAGGATCACAGCTTGAAGCCAGCCTGGGCAGGAAAGTCTATAAGTCTCTTATGTCCAGTTAAGCACAAAAAATATCCAGAAGTGGAGCTGGGGCTCAAGTAGGTAGCATTCCAACCTTGCCAGTTCAAGCCCCAGTACTGGGGCTACAGAAGAACAGAGGGTTGGAAAGGGGTGAGATGTCATTGGGAAAGTGTCAGTGGAGTATGGAAGGCCCTGGCATGCCCTTTTAGATCCACCACCAATCCCAGCCCATTGTGACAGTGTCATGTTCTAGACTACAGGCCTGGGGGGTGGGGGGAGGCAGGAGGAGCCTAGAGAGAAGGAAGTAGGCTCCAGTGGCGGGCTGTACCCCCTAGAGGGGCAGCAAAGCCCAATGGGTCAGAAGGGCCACAAAGACCCCTTTCACCCTTATGAGGGGTAAGATACTTTCTTTAGTTAGTTAGTTAATTAGTTAATGCCAGTTCAGGGCCTGGGTGCTGTTCCTGGTAGGACTAGCCTAGTGGTAGGCTAATGTTCTACCACTTGAGCCACTTGATTAGAGTTAAGAGTCTCACCAACTTTCCTGCCCAGGCTAACTTAGAACTGTGATCCTCAGAACTCAGCCTCCTGAGTAGCTAGGATTACAGGCATAACCCACCAGCACCTGGCTGGATATATTTATTGTTAAGGCCTCCGTGATTCACCCTGATCCTCAATCTTTTCCCCCACTCCATCAGATCTCAGGATGATTTCCATCCCTGGGAATACTGGCCTGTGGATCCAAACTATCCAAACTGCCCATCCCCGGGCAGCACAGCCGGTCTGGAGGAACTTACCAAAGATATGCAAGGCTGACCAGGGAGGCCGAGCGGAGCTGTGATGCTCTGTCCTGCCCAGGTGGGGCTGAGGGCTCCAGAGTCAGATCTGTGTCTCTCCCCTCAGGACTTCTGTGAGCAGCCTCCATGTGGACCTGGACCAGTGCATGACTGCCCTGGATCTCTTCCTCACCAACCAGTTCTCAGAAGCACTCAGCTACCTCAAACCCAGGTGAGCCCAGCTGTGGTGGGGATGGAGGCAGGGCTGTGGGTGCACATCTATGTACAAGCTCTCATGGAAGGAGGGAGCATGTAGCAGAGGAGCCCTGTGGAACTGAGTGCCTTCTGCCTTCTGGGTCACAGGACCCTTGAGAGGTCCTATAAATAAGGCATAGGCTTCCCATCCCACAATCTCTGAGCAGCCGGACATCCCCAAGGTCTCTGTGACTTTGTTCATCTAGGGTTTCTGAGGCCTCTTCCCACTTTGATTTCTTGTTCCTACTGAGTCAGCTTAGGTTTTCTCTGTCAGTTCTAACACAGCCCCGTCCACTGAGCATTTAGGTAATGAGCACTGCTCCTTTAGTCATTTCCTCCCCTGTGTACTGCCTGATCTCTAAATGTGCACCTAAGTATGTGCACATTCAGCTTTTACTATATTCACTGGGGTTTTTTTTTCCAGCTTTTAAAACAGGTACAGCTAGGTGCCAGTGGCTCATGTTTGTAATTCTAAGGATGTCTAATTCTGATTCCACTCAGCAGGCTGAGATCTGAGGATTGTAGTTCAAAGCCAGTCCAGGCAGAAAAGTCCGTGAGACTTTTCTCTCCAATTAGCTACCAAAATGCCAGAACTGGAGCTATGGCTCAAGTGATAGAGCACCAGCCTTGAGCAAAAAAGGTCAGGTACCATGCCCAGGCTCTTGAGTTCAAGCCTTAGGACTAGCACAAAGGAAAAAAAATTTTAAAAGCTGACATACAGCTGGGCATGGTGACTACCAGCACTTGAGAGGCTGTAGAAGAATGGAGTTTGAGGTCAGTCTGGCTACACAGTGAGGCCCTGGCTCCAACAAACAGTTGTATCCCTATAAATTTTACCTTTTTCACTTGTATTTTTATTTTATTTATTTATTTTTGCCAGTCCTAGGGCATGAACTCAGGGCCTAGGCTCTGTACCTGAGCCGCTGTGTACTGAAGGTTAGCACTCTACCACTTGAGCCACAATACCACTTCTGGCTTTTTCTGTTTATGTGGTACTGAGGAATCGAACCCAGGGCTTCATACATGCCTGCTAGGCAAGCACTCTGCCACTGAGCCACATTTCCATTTTCTCACTCATCTTCTCCCATGTGCTTGTCTTTTTTTTTTTTTTAAGACAGGGTATTGCTATGTAGCCTAAGTGGCCTGGACCTCAACCCTGCCTGCTGGCTCCCAAGTGCTGGATCACAGGTGTGGGCTACTGTGGCTGGTTCTACCTCTCACTTATAAATGTCATATTCCATCCTCCCTCCCCCGCCCCTCTCTCTCAGCACTGAGGTTTAAACTCAAGGTCTTGTTAGGCAAGAGCTTTATCACTTAAGCCATATCTCCAGCTCTGACCCTCTCTGTAGACATGGATTTAGCTTTCTCACACCCTTATACCCTTTCCTCATCCCCCTCTTTATTATATTACAATATTTAACTAATCAATCATCAATATTTGTATCATTGTATATTTGTTTTGTTTTGTTGGTCAATCGTGGGGCCTGAACTCTGGGCCTGGGCTGCTGTCCATCAGCTCTTCAGCTCAAGGGTAGCGCTTTACCACGTGAGTCACAGAGCCACTTCCAGTTTGGGATTTTTTGTTTTTGTTTTTTGCTTATGTGGCACTGAGGAATCGAACCCAGGACCTCATACATGCAAGGCAAGCACTCTACCACTGAGCCACTTTCCCAGCCCATATCATTATATATTCGTATCTTTGTAATTATTACATACTGCGGCAATAGGTTGTGTATTAGATGATGTTTCCTTTCTGGAGTTAATAATGGTCTTTATTTTTTTCATTTGCCTAATTTTCTACACATTTATAATAAACTCTAAACACTCTATAAGACGATCCTGTCAGGAGCTCTCAGTTCTAGGAAGTTCCCTCTGTCTTCTGTTTCCCTGCTTTGCTGGCTTTCTTAAAGTTAAGTGACTGACTTCCTTGGTCATTCTTCTAAGGCTCTTATTTCCCCCTCTCCTTTCCATTTCTGCATCTTTTCTTCCTCTAATGTTTGGTATATTTTCTCAGCCTTATAATTAAGTTCTTCTATTGACTTCTCTAACCATGTGATTTCTTTATTGTTCTCTGGATCTCCTTTCTTTTCTCCCTTTAACCCCTCTCTCTCCTCTCTCTTCCCCGCCCCCCTCTCACACACACACACATCACTATGTAATTCAGAGTGGCTTTAGATTCTAGGTCATCCTACCACAGACTTCCAAGTGCTGAGATTACAGGTATATGCCACCACACCTGGCAATATCTTATTCTTGCTTTATCAATTCACTTTTCTTTATAGCTATATTAGGAATATAAGGTTCCTTAGAACACAGCCTTAGAACACACTCTACTAGGTTTTTTATTGTGAAAATACTGTACAGAGGGGTTACAATTACATGGGCAAGATAATTCTACTAGATATTATTGTTAGCATTATTATCACAGAATAAGAAATGTTGTATTTATGCATTGCATGAATTGCTTTCTATAGGTTCCTGAATTCTGCTTAATTGTGGGAACCAATCATCACTCCAATACCAAGGGTCCCTGGCTAGTTTTCTGTCATAGTTAAGAATGAACCAGGGCTGGGAAGGTGGCTCAGTGGTAGAGTGCTTGCCTTGCATGCATGAGGCCCTGGGTTCGATTCCTCAGCACCACATAAGCAAAAAGAAAAAAGCCGGAAGTGGTGCTGTGCCTCAAGTGGTAGAGTGCTAGCTTTGAGCTGAAGAGCTGAGGGACAGTGCCCAGGCCCAGAGTTCAGGCCCCACGACCGGACCCAAAAATAAATAAACAAGAATGAACCACTCAAAGGCAAACTAGAAGGTCTGTGCCAAGCAGCCTCAAGGCTGGTGAGATTGTCTTTTGAATGATCCTTCAGAGAGCTGCTGGCCCCACATGTCAGCATGCAAGGTAAGCCTGCTTCCCTCTTTCTCAGGGTGGACAGAGAACCCCTGGGCTGTCTAAATTCTGAGATGAGGCCAGGGGTCCAATCCTGGCTCCTGCCTGCCTGCTTTTCCTTACTCCCTATGTTGTCAGCCCCAAGGTTTCTCTGTACTGCCAACCTCCTTTCCCCACACTCCAGCATGGCAAATACTCAGGTGGCTTATAGATTCTTCTCTACACTTGGCTGACCCATTGTTTTCCTCCTGGAGTTAGGAGCCTAGCTTCTGGGGGGATGGTCGGGGCCAGCAGAACGATCAGAATCAGTCCTTGTGCTAAGTTCCTCCCACTATCTGAGGGATCAGGGTGAGCCAGGGGCTGCAGTATTCATTGGTCTGAGGCCAGCCAGGTCCCACCCTGCTCCTCACCGAATGTCCAGGCGTCCCAGCTTCCACTTCCCTCCCAGTCAGTCATTTCTTGTCCCTCACTGGCTCATGCCGCCTCCTGCACTTGAAACTGGCTGTCCCAGGCTTGTCCCACCACACCCCAAGCACAAACACTGGCCTCTCTCCTTATTCTCCGACACTCAGCAGCACAGACCTGGCCACACCTTAATCTAACTCTAACCCATCCTGCACTCTGAGGGTCAACAGAAGGAAGTCAGAGCACGATAAAAAATAAAATTTAAAGTTAAGGACACTCTTAGGAGGGGAACACAAAGGTATAATGCCTATGTGCAGCTGATCGTATAAAATAATGTTCCTGGAAATGAACTCCAGGAAATGGGGGGAAAAAAACTAAAATTACACACACACACACACACACACACACACACACACACACAAACCAGATGGCATTGAATGGCCTTCAAAGCTGTGCCTACCACAGGGTCCCTATCTCTCTCTCCTCTGGGCTGCCTTCCTTGCCTCTGGGGGTCACTCAGCAGAGAAAGCCCTTGCTTTAAAGGAGGCAGCCCAGAGAACAGGCGGCCTCTTTCCCATGCATCTGTGAAACAGTGCAGCTTCTGGTTCTCAGCCCTATGCCACTTTGGCAAGACTCTTCCCTGTCCTTTTAGTGACAGCTTTCCTGCAAGCAGGAGCAGCGCTGTCCCCAAGCACTCCCATGACATCCAAGATTGCATCCAAAGTTACCAAGTGGCCCTAGGGGACTAAATTACAGTGATTCCAGACATTGCCATACATCCTTGTATGTACTTTACCACCTCCCAGAGAATCACTGAGCTGGAGAAATCATTGTTGCTAAGAAATCAATTTTTTATGAGCTGCCCCTCCCCCACCCCACTCACAGGCGGCTGAGCTCCAGCTGCAATGCCTGCTCCTTGGGTCTGTCTAATTCCCTGATTCTATAAGTAGGGGCTAGGGTCCCTCTTTTGTCCCCATCCTCTTGCCAACCTCCTGTTCCTGCCACACCTTTTATGATATCGCTTCCTTGAGTAATGTCTATACCGCAAAGTTTGTATTACCTTGCATATATATCTTCTCTAGACACTGTCCCTAGAACATGGAGGCTCCTCTGTTAGTTTTTTCTGACTCGTGCTCATAAGCAACTGAGCTGGAATTCAAGTCCAGGCCTACTTGGCCCCAGCAGCTCTGCTCTTACTGCTGCGCTCGCTTGGGTCTCCAGTGGTCAGGAGGTGGCCACTTTGCGTGGAGGGCCTTATGCTGCTGCTATCAGGAAGAGTATGAAAAGGGTGTGCGCAGAGATAAGTGTGTGTGCCAGGTGCCAGAAGTTCAGGGTATAGCCATGCTATGTCCTGGAATTTTTCTGAGGGAAAAGGAAAGGTCATCAACTAAGAGTGAGAGATGGGGCTTGAACTCAGGGCCTTGTGCTCTCCCTTGACCTTTTCACTCAAGGCTTGAGGCACACCTCTTTTTTTTTTTTTTTTTTTGGTCAGTTGTGGGGCTTGAACTCTGGGCCTGGGCGCTGTCCCTCAGCTCTTCAGCTCAAGACTAGTGCTCTACCACTTGAGCCACATCACCACTTCCAGTTTTCTGTTGGTTCATTGGAGATAAGAGTCTCAGAGACTTTCCTGCCTAGGCTGGATCCTCAGATCTCAGCCTCCTGAGTAGCTAGGATTACAGGGATGAGCCACCGGTGCCTGGCTGAGCCATACCTCTTGATTCCAGTTTTTTGATAAAGAGGAATCTCACAGACTTTCCTGCCTGGGCTGGCTTCAAACTGAGATCCTCAGATCTCAGCTGCTTGAGTAGCTAGGATTATAGGCATGAGCAAGCAGCACCCAGCAGGAGTAGGTATTTCTGAGCTGTGTGATGGGCCTGATCCAGGTTGGCCCCTGGCTCAGGGCATGCCTATCTGTGCCTTTTATGCACTGCTGCTCTCCAACCTTCTTCAGTGGCAGTGTGGAGGAAATGTTCTGAGTTTCCTATCTGGGTGCAGCAGAAAGTTGAAAGGCCTAGCGTTGTGTATTTAGACCAGAGAGGGGCTGGCATGAGGGAGCTAAGTTGAAAGGTCAGTGCCCTTTAAAGATTCTGAAAGGAGAGCCATTCTATATGATGAAGATGCAGTCAAGGTGTACCCAGGAGGGGGCAGGGGGAGGGGACACCTCTCATTCAGCATCACACATGTGCCAGACAGTGTAAGGGATGCCAGGGCTCCAGTGCTGAGCAAGACCTTCTCAAACAGTGGAACAAGCACTAAGCGGTGCTGAGATCTACCCAGGGACCCCAACTAGTCAGCAAGGCTTTAAGACCAGCCACATAATTTAGGTCCTGTTGCCAAGTGACTATGTGAGGTTACTTGTTTGCAAATTATCAAAGAGTTTCAAGGCAGTGACAGCAGAGAAAGCTTCCTGGACAAGGTGACATTGAAAGTAACATGGGCTGGATGAGGACTGAGCCAGCGGGAGGGGGCCTTCCTGGCAGAGGGAACAGTCACTTGGTCAGGTGAGTGAAGGTGAAGGAGGGGCTGGTGTGTTTGAGGACTGCAGTCGGGAGAGCTGAGTTGGGTGCTAGCAGAGGCCCAGAGGGCTGAAGGGTGGTGAAGGAGGCTGCGAGTGTCCTGGAAGTCACTTGTCTGGAGATGAGGGGCAGTGAGGTGAGGTCTGAGAGGACAAGCCATGGGGTTGGGACCTTTCAGAAGACTCATAGAAGCAGAGAGTCTGTGTCTGCCTTCCAGATCTTCCCAGAGCTTCCTGAGAAATAAGGCTGGGCGCAGGGGGCCAGGAAGGAGCTGTGGGGTCGGGTCAGGATGAGGATGCCCAGATAGTGAGGACAGGGTCAGATGTAGCAAGGCCTGAGCCCTGGATTCTAGCCAAGGAAAAGGCCTAGGGTCCCCTATAGTGGCCATGGTGTCCCCAGTCTACCACCCTGCTCTGCTGACAGCTCTTCTAGAACTCTCCCCATCTTGGCTACTACTCCACAGAAAGCAGACCCCAGTGGGCATTATGCTGCAGAGCTGGGCCCAGCCCACAGATCTGGATGTTCTTTATACAAATGAGAACTCATGGGCTGCACATTAATCTTGGGGTGCCTGAGGTTTGTGGGGGTAGGTATCATGCCCCTGAGCCCTACTTCCACTCCAGGTCAGATTGGGGGGGGGTCTCTCAGGTAGAAGGAAGAAGGGAACAGGTGCATGTTGGGGCCTCAGGCCTCAGACTGGAAATTCCACTTTGTCTGCCAACAATGTGGCTGTCGAGGTGTCCCTCCTGGGCTCAGCACCAATCTGGACTCAGCAGATGGATCTGGGCTGAGTCCTGGGGAGAGCAAGAGGGAAGAGAGGATAAAGAGGTAGTCAGGTCTGCTGAAGGGTGTCAGTCCCTATCTGGGGGAAGGGTGTCTGGGGTTTTATGCTAGAAAGTGATCCTTGATCCTTGACATTTCCTCAGCAGGGATTATGTAGCCCTGGCCTGGGCTAAATATTTAAACTAGGCATTAAGTCCTAGAGTTAATGAATTCATTTTATTAAATTATATTTTTGTGCTGGCCTGGGGCTTGAACTCAGGGGCTAGGTGCTTGAACTCAGGGCCTGGGTACTATCCCTGAGCTTTTATGCTCAAGGCTAGTGCTCTGCTACTTTGAGCCACAAGCGCCACTTCCAGTTTTCTGGTGGTTAATTAGAAATAAGAGTCTCACAGACTTAACTGCCCAGGCTGGCTTTGAACTGTGATCCTCAGATCTCAGCCTCCTGGGTAGCTAGGATTACAGGTGTGAGCCACCAGCACCTAACTTGAATTCATTTTGATAGAGGAGAGATGTGATTCCGAGAGGCTGAGGCTGACCAGAGTCACACAGTGGGTGAATGGCAAAGCCAAGATTCCAAGCTATGTTGGAGAGACTCGGGAGTCCAGATTTCATCACCCCTGTTGCAGAGATCTACCTCATTTCTTTTTTTTTTTTTTTTTTTTTTTGTCCAGTCGTGGGGCCTGAACTCTGGGCCTGGGCGCTGTCCCTCAGCTCTTCAGCTCAAGGCTAGCACTCTACCACTTGAGCCACAGCGCCACTTCCGGCTTTTTTCTTTCTGCTTATGTGGTGCTGAGGAATCAAACCCAGGGCCTCGAGCATGCAAGGCAAGCGCTCTACCACTGAGCCACCTTCCCAGCCCCTACCTCATTTCTATAAGCCACTGTCAGGCCAAACAGCCCTGGCACTGGCCTGGAAGGTGTCCTGAGCACTGGTAGGGCTGGGATGGGGCCTTTTGTTCCTTCAGAACCTTTGGTCCTCACCTGCCTGTCACTCAGAAGTAAACAAACAAAAAACTTACTTCACCTCACTTTATCCCTTTACAGGTGATTTTTAAATTTTATCGACTAATTAATTAATTGTGTGTGTGTATGTGTGTGTGTGTGTGTGTGTGTGCCAGTAAAAGGGCTTGAACTCAGGGCCAGGGAAGTGCCCCAAAGCTTTTTGTGTTCAAGACTGGCACTCTGTCATTTGAGTCACAGCTCCACTTTCCAGCTTTTTTGGTGGCTAATTGGAGATGAGAATCTCATGGAGGAAGTGGCGCTGTGGCTTAGTGGTAGAGCGCTTGCTTTGAGCTGAAGAACTCAGGGACAGCGCCCAGGTCCAGAGTTCAAGCCCCATGACCAACCAAAAAAAAAAATGACCAAAGAATCTCATGGACTTTCCTGCTTGTGCTGGCTTTGAACCATGATCCTTAGATTTCAGCTTCCTGAGTAGCTAGAATTACAGGCGTGAACCACCTACGCTCAGCTCAGGTGATTTTTAAATAAGAAAGGAAGGTGGCTAAAGTTACACGATTTAACAATAAAACTAGCTATAAGGCTTAGTCTCCCCTCCTCTGAGGTTCCCAGGATTAGCCCGGCACTGAGGAGTGTGGTAACTCTTTGGCCAGGGCACGCCGGGAAACTGCAGTCTGGAGAGCTGTGCTCTCCCACCAGCTCAAGGCCATTGTGGCCAGGTGGGCCAGCTGTATCTCCCCCGTCACAGAGGCAGCAGCCAAGACCCTAAGACTGCTAAGGGTCTCCCCTAAGACTGGCATTCTCACCCCTCCTTACCCTGGCACTCTCCATGTGTTAGACTGGTGGCTGCCTGCCACCCCCACCAGAACACCCTCTAGTGAAGGAGCAGAAGCGGTGAAGGCTCAAGGAGGCGGAAGGAAGGCTTCCCAAGGCACCATGGCTCATTGACACTGCATGTCACGCTGCAGCTGAGCACAGAGATGAGTCATCCCCAGCCCTGTCCCTCGGAGACTTACGGTCTGTGGAGAGAGCTGAGCCTGTGCTGGTGTGGGTTCACTGTGGCCCTGCCTTGTTATAAACATGAAATCTCTGAGGAGAAGCCATGGCTTCCCAGGGGCCTGTGAGGCCTTGGCAGACAGTCAAGGGAGCTGTGGAGGCAGGAGAAGGGTGTCTCAGGCTGGGGGAAGAGTACGGGTAAAGGCCCAGAGGTGGGAAGCAGAGGGTCTTCTCTGTGGTTTGTTAAGGCCCATGTACGACCTTGAGTGTGACCGGATCAGAGCAGGGTAGGAGAGCAACAAGAGGCCGGAGAGATGGGCAGGGGGAAGGGTTCAACCTGGGGATGTGGGTCAGGTGATGGGATGAGGGAGGCAAAGGGGGGCCTCTGAAGCGATTCAGGGTGTGTGGAAGGGGATGAAGCCAGCATGGGCTTGGGCATAGAAAGGGTCAGGCAGGACTAGGAATCAGCCTGCTGAAGGTGGAGGCAGAAGGCTTGGGGCACACTGTCGCCTGGGAAAGGGCAGCCTCAGGCCAACCTGAGGCCAACCAGCCCTTTGCTAGTCCTACTGGCCTTGCTGCAGAGGGGAAGGGCTGAGGCTCATGCCTGTTAGGTCCCTTGGGGCCACTGAACCGGAGGTAGAAGAGCTAGAACAGGATCTCACTGGAGTCAAAGTTTTCTGAACAGCAGTGAAAAGGGTCAGAAAGGATTAACTGGTCCTATTTTCTCCCCTGTGAAAACTGGAAGGAAATGGAGGATGGGGGGAAGTCTAGGAACAGTGTGTCCAATGTCTTCTCTCTCTTTGGCAGAACCAAGGAGAGCATGTACCACTCACTGACCTATGCCACCATCCTGGAGATGCAGGCCATGATGACCTTCGACCCTCAGGACATCCTGCTTGCTGGCAGCATGATGAAGGAAGCGCAGTCACTGTGTCAGAGGTCAAGCTGTGGGGTCAGGGATTGGGGTTATGAGGTCCACCTTCCCGTCTGTCACCCTGATCTAACCAAGGCCTAGAATGCCACTATTAGTGCTGTTTCTTTGGGCTAAGAGGTGGTATCCTTGAGTGCTGAAAGCTGTCTTTATCTACATGTCCCAGAACCTTGTTGCCCACGCCAGTATACTGAGCAGCTTCCAGCAACCAGTGCCAGCTGGACTCTCATTTTGTAACTCTTTGGCCATGATCCCTCTCTGGTCAACTTTCCTCATCTATAAAATGGGTATGATGATATACCCATATACCCACTGCAAGATTGCCCTAGGGATTGCCTGAAAACATGGTGTGTAGGACCCTAGTGAACAACGTATTTGGTTCTCATTCCTTTCTTGAATGAATGAAATAATAGACCCAAAGAGTTTGTGTTTGGTTGAGTCATCGTCTACTGGATACATGCTTATTCCAGGCCAAGCCCATGTGACCTGGAGATCATCAACCATAAGGGACCTAGACCAGGATAGTGACATCCCAACATATTGCAGGGAGGCCAGAGGGAGGGGTGGAGGGTGAGCCTGAGGAGTGGGAAAGACTCCCGGGGCGGGGGGGATCCTGAAGGATGGCCCAGGAGAGAGAAGGAAGAGGGGGAAAGAAAAAGGAGACTCTGGGTAGTGGCAACAGCAGTGGTGAAGAGGTGAGGACGTTCTGGATTTGGCTGAGCAGTGGGGAGTCCAGTGTCTGCAGACTTCCATAGGAGGAGCCTTGGAATTCTGGGGAGTACAGAAAAGAGGGGCACAGATAAGTAGGACCAGGACTGGGCCCCTCTCACCACCTTACCAAATGACCAGTGGCTCCTTTAATTTCTTCAGGCGCCGGAGGAAGTCTTCTGTGACAGACTCCTTCAGCCTGGTATACCGGCCCACCATGGAGCAATTCACGGAAGGTATGGCGTCGGGGTGTGCCCTCAAGCATGCTGAGCCTGGGTGGCTGTAGGCCTAGATAAGAAAGGGCAGCAGAAAAAAAAAAAAAAGAGAGGGCAGCAGGTGTCACCCATGGGGCTGGGCCTTGCCTCAAGGTGGGGACACAGGTAGAGGAGGTCTGGCCCCTTTCCAGGAGTGGCCCTCTGGTGAGAGCATGAGGTAGATGAGACCATGCGTCTTTCCCTGGCAAGGAACCCAGAAGCTGAGGAAAGGAAAGCTGTCACTGGGCCTAGCTTTGCTGCTCCGGTGGAGGGGAGCTGAGACCCGTGCTCTCTGACTGGTCTGCCTGGGAGAAGAGTCTGGGGTTTAGAAGCTGACACACGGGATGAGACGGTTGGCAGAAGTGGAAGAGATGGTCTGGGTTGTTGTAACTCACATAGCTTCTTTGTGCCGTGACCGTGTATGGCAGAAGCCAGCCATGAGTAGTTTGGGATTGTTCAGCACAGGGACAAACAATCTGAGCCCACCTAGAGAGCCCTGGAAGATTCTTGTACCTAACACAGCCTCTGATGGTCCCTGGGAATAAGAAGATGAGGTTGTACTGATATCCTGAGTGTTGGAACCGGGTATCCACTACAAAGATGGAGATGTGAGCTAACTTGGGTCAGAGCAATGGAGCAGTGGAGGTCGCAGTGCTGCTGCAGGCTTCCTTTGCTTTTGAGGGAGGTGAGGGCTGGAGGATTGGACCCAAGGCCCCTGTCCAGAGCCTCAGGAAGCCTCAGGGCTTTGATTTTCCTCCCCACAGAGGAAATGCATGCCGAGGTCTGCTACGCAGAGTGCCTGCTGCAGAGAGCAGCGCTGACCTTCCTGCAGGTAGGAATCCCTGCCTTGAATTTCGCATCAGTCACCAGATCCAGGCATGACCCCATCCCCTGTGGGCCTGATGCAGACCTAGGTTCAGAGCCCCCGACTCCTGACCCTGGCCAGGCTTGATGCAGAAGAGATGGGTGCACCATCCCCACACCCTGTTACTATGGGGCTGCGTCTACTATGTCCCTGCTGTCAAGGATCCTGTGGGCCCAGGCATTGCCAGAAGCCTCTTTGACAAACACTCGTCACTCGGTGTACCAGACTTTTACATGTAGTCGGATATAGTGTGTCATTTTTTATAAATCTCACACTTGAGTTTGTTTTATGCATGTCCCATTATTATTTAATCTTTACCTCAAAGTCCAAGACTTGGGAAAGGAGTCACCTTCCCAAGGCCACACAATTAACAAATGATGAACTGGGATTTGAATCTAGATCCAGCCAAGTCAGAACCAGGTACCCTCACCATACATTGGTAATTATGAGCACGCTCATTGCATGAGTTTTGTTTTGTTTTTTAACCAGGAAGCCTGGGATATGATGTCACACATTAAAATCCTGTATAAAGCCAGTGGTGGGAGAGGGTGTCTGTAATCCTAGCTCTTAGGAGGCTTAGGCAAGGAGGAGTTCAAGGTTAGTCTGGACTATGTAACTAGATCCTGTTTTAAAGGGGCATGCTTTTATTTTCCTCTTTTGGACCTTAGACGATCGGAATTGTGTTAATTCTAATTCCTGGTGTCAGACTCGCTGTAACAACTGCACCATGAGTAGCATTTTATTTCATTTACTTGTTTATTATATAATCACAAATATAAATACCCACAATCCCCTCTTCAACCAGCCAAAGAGCAGATCTCAGTGGTAATTCACCCTGTCTCCCCCCAACCCCCACCCCGGCCTCCTCCCACTGTCTGGGCTGCTACCTAGAAAGTTCCTCCTCCATCTTGTTTGTGTCTGAATAGCATATGGTCATGTTTTCCTTAGTTTTGAGATTCATAACGGCCTCAAGGGACTTGCCTTCTGCACCCATCGCTGCGGTGGCTGTGCTACGCTCTCTCACCCACCTGCTGCTGTGAACATGGCTTCTACAGCACCCCCCCCCCCGCCCTCCTGTGGGTCTCTCAGGAGCTGCCAGGCTGGCGGGGGCACTGGTGCTTCAAAAGATAAATGTGATAAACACCCACGTGTGGCAGAAAGTACAGGCAGTTCAGAAATGAGCCTCCTTCCTCCTCTCACAGTCTTTCCCCCTAAAGGGAGGCCCCATCTATCAGGGCATGTCCCCCAGCCCAGACCTCTGGCCAAGCACCCAGGGTGTGTAGAAGTGGGGGAAAGCAGCCTCCTTACCTCCTGCAGTTCCCTCATAGATCCGGACACTCAAGGCCCAGAACCTTTTGGGATTTCTCAGGCCACATCTGGCTGCCTGCCTGCCCCGGGGCTCAGCTATAACATTTCTTCCTCTTGCAGGACGAGAACATGGTGAGCTTCATCAAGGGTGGCATCAAAGTTCGAAACAGCTATCAAACCTACAAGTGAGCGGGCCGGTGTGGGGAGAGCGGAGGGGGGGGAGGGGGCGGGCCCAGGAGCTATGTCCCTGGGCCTCTCCAGCTGCACTGTGGGAGGTGGACTTCTGGCTTGAAGCTGGATGTCTATTGTGAGCTCGAGCACCCCTATGACTGGTTCTGAGGCTTGAACTCAGGGCCAGGAGGCTGTCCCTGAGCTTTTACTTCAAGGCTAATACTTGAGCCACAGCTCCACTTCCTGCTTTGTGGTGGTTAATTGGAGATAAGAGTTTCATGGACTTAACTGCCTAGGCTGGCTTTGAACTGTGATCCTTAGCCTCCTGAGTAGCTAGGATGGCAGGTATGAGCACCAGTGCCCAGCTATCTTAACTTTAATGGGTCTAGGTGTCAGCCAGTAAGGCAGTATTACCAAAGCCCAACACACCACACAGTGTGGGGGCACCATGCTCTGTTGGGGGAACTGCATCTGTTCAGGGACAACCAGACAAGTGCTCTGGCCCCTACGTCTCCAGCCAGAATGATGTCTCCACAGTCAGGCCAACCCCTTACCAACTCCCCTTAGAATAGAGCTCTGAGGCATTGTCCTGTCATTCCTGGGACGACTCTTCTGTCTTCCTTGTCACATTTCCTTCCTCTTTCTACCTCAGACCTGTTGGATCTTCTCTCTGTTCTTCAAAGATCCCAAGCTGACCCTTTACCTCAGGGCCTTGGGAATGCTGTCTGTCAGGGACACTGCACCACAGATGGGAATACCGAGGGTATCTGTGCTTTCTGCTGCCCTCCAGTGCCTGGCACAGAGGAACCTCAGGAATGCTCGCTGCCTGGAAGCCCCTATAGTGCTCACAGCCCAGGCAGAGGCAGGCAGATCTTTATAGCCTCTGTACTGGGCTCTAGACTCTGTGCCATTCAGGACCAGGAGGAAGCAGGTAAACTCCAGGAAGACTTCCAGAGAGAGGAGAGTTTGAGTTTGCAGCCCATTGTTCTCAGTTGGGGGCAGTTGTGCCCCAGGAGACCGTTGGCAATGTCTAGAGAATGTCAGTTGTCTGAAAAAATGCTACTCACAACTAGAGGGCACCAGGGAGGTACTAGCGAACACACTAACTGGGAGAGGCTTCCCTCAACTCCCCCCAACAAAAAACTATCCTGCCTAAAATGTCAGGATGAGAAACCATGTTTGAGGGCCTGGACCTATGTCTAGAAGTTGGGCCAGGCAGGTCACACTGGAGCCAGAAGGTTGAAATGTAGGGGTGAGGCATATACTGGCTGGTAGCAATTCCTCGCATACCAGCTCCCTGAATCTACGAGATTGGGCAGGAGTTCACTGTAGGCCCAGCTAGAATGGATCCTCACCCACACTCCCAGGATATGGCTGAATAGTGCTTTGATCTTCCCACAGGGAGCTGGACAGTCTCATCCAGTCCTCACAGTATTGTAAGGCGGAGAGCTTCAGGCACTTTGAAGGAGGAGTGAAGCTTGGTGTCGGGGCCTTCAACCTGGTGAGTGGCGGTTCGCCCAGCCCCATTTCCCTGGTGCCTGGGCTCCAGATAAACAGGCCCTGCAGGTCCTTTATTATTCTACACGTGGTCAGCCATGAGGACCATGGTGCATGACTGTGTGGTGAGCACCAGGACCCCACACACGATCTTGACTTGTGTCCAGCTTTGAGGAGCTCATCGCCAGGGTCACAGTGGAGGTGCTGGAGTGCTTGGAGAGTGGCTGAGTGTCTGTATGTCACACTGATAGCATGAAGCTCTCGGCCATGCAAGTGATTCTAGCACCAGAACTGGACCAGCCCAATAAGCCAGAGTTTCTTCTATCCTGGAAAACTGGTTGCTAAGGCTTAGTGGAGCCAGGGAGGAGGACAGGCCTGGAACCAGCTGGACAGCTGCTGACCGACAGGGGACAGAGAGTCAAGTCCTCTTCTTAGGGGAAGCTGGGAAAGATTTCCTGGGGGAGGCAGGTAAACATCTGAGCTGGAGCTGGAAGGATCTACAGGAGTTCCAGGCGGGGAAGGGGGTTCCAGGCAGAAGCGGCAGCGTGAGCTGGGACAGGAACACTTGCGAGTGCTGTGCCTGCTGTGTGAAGGGTCTCAAGGGAGATACAGGTCCCTCCCCCCGGCCTTGGTGGCCAGAGACATTCCTGTGTGTGTCTAGGGGATGTGGCAGCCCTCTCCTCTCCTCCCCTCTCCTCCCCTCTCCTCCCCTCTCCTCCCCTCTCCTCCCCTCTCCTCCCCTCTCTGGGAAAGCCCTTTTCAAAATCTGGCCTTAGGGTGAGGTTCCCCACCCCCACCCCTTATCACCCTCCATGGGCCCCTATCTCTGTTCCCACAGACGCTGTCCATGCTTCCTACTAGGATCCTGCGGCTGCTGGAGTTTGTGGGGTTCTCGGGAAATAAGGTAACCATCTGCTTTCTGGTACCTTAATCCTATTCAGTCCTAGGACTGGAGCAGGGCTGGATGGGATGAGGCTAAGGAGCTGTGGGCCTGGGTGCCAGTCCTGCCTTACCCCACCTCAGTGTGTGACCTGGACACAGGTCTTCTCCCCTTGAATACTTCCCTATTTCAGGGTCTTGGGAAAGTCCTCCTCTCCAGGATGATTTTTTTGAGCGCTCTTACCTTATCAGAGAAAAAGCTCAGGGAAGTCCTCGTGACCAGGACCAGAGAGCTCAAACACCCATAGGCTTTATTGAGCTCAAGAACCCCAAATATCTGCCCCCACTGGAGGTAGATCACTGATCTTCTTGATGGTGGAGAATCAAGTGGTGAAAGAAATACTGGTCTGCAAGTCAGGAGCTCTCAGTTGGTACAGCTTCACCCCGCCTCCCCCCCCCCTCCTCTCCACCATTCTCTCCCTTCCCCCTCCCCCCCCCCCCCCCCCCCCGCCCGGCTCCCCTGTGGTCTGAGCAAGTCTTAAGGCTCATCTGAAGAGCCTCATCTATAGGCCATATGGCCTCATTCATGTGTACTTTTTCTGTCCTTCTTGCTCTGCCCTGTCCACGGACAAGCTGGTAGTGCTGATACTATTTTTCTCAAAAGTGACATCATTTTTCCTTCAGTGTATTTAAAGGAAACATTGCTATACAAACCCCATATTATTTGGCATAAGAACATAATCATAGGGGCTGGGAAGGTGGCTCAGTGGTAGAGTGCTTGCCTAGCATGCATGAAGCCCTGGGTTTGATTCCTCAGTACCATATAAACAGAAAAAAGGCTAGAGGTAATGCTGTGGCTCAAGTGGTAGAGTGCTAGCCTTGAGCAAAGGAAGCTCAGGGACAGTGCCCAGACCCTGAGTTCAAGCCCCAGGACTGGTAAGCAAAGAGAGACAGACAGACAGACAGACCATAAACATAAAAAAGAAATAGTATGCTGAGTGCCGGTAGCTCACGCCTGTAATTGAGGATCACGGTTCAAAGCCAGCCTCGGCAAGGAAAGTCTGTGAGACCCTTATTTCTAATAAACCACCAGAAAACTGGAAATGGGGCTGTGGCTCAAGTGGTAGAGCACTAGCTTTGAGCTGAAGAGCGCAGGGATAGCGCCCAGGCCCAGAGTTCAAGGAGGAGAAACCCTCAGGTAGGGCTCCATGGAAGACTCTCTGCCATGCATGTCTGAAGCCCCTTCAGTTCTAGTTTCTAAAGCAGGCTGCTGAGGTGCTGGTAGTACTGACAGGGGAAGGCAGAGCCTGAGGAAGGTAGGAGAAGGGAGTAGTGTACAGGTAAACTGGTAAGCTCTGGTCCCAGCTCCATCACAGCCTGGAACCAGAGGTTTCTCCGCACACAGTGCTGAGCACACAGGGAAAAGCTGCAGGAGTGCTGAGGGCCTGGCCTCAGCTGCAGCAGATCTCCTTCCCCCGGGAAGGGAAGGCGGCCTCTGCTCAGCATCACACAGCAGGGGAGCAGCCTCAGGGCCTCCAGACTCCCAAGTCTGGTGCCCTTCTGATCCCGCTCCAGCCACCCAGTCCTCATAGATGGCCAGTGACCTCGCAGACTCCCTGCCCCTCTCTCGGAACCTCAGCTTGTCCTCCTGTCCCCCAGGACTACGGGCTGCTGCAGCTAGAGGAGGGGGCATCGGGGCACAGCTTCCGTGCCGTGCTCTGTGTCATGCTGCTGCTCTGCTACCACACCTTCCTCACCTTCGTGCTCGGTAGGAATCGTGCTGGGTGGGCACAGGGGACTGGATCTGGTGATCTTCCAGAGTGAGGGCCTGTCACCGGCTGGGACCCCGGGGACTGGGATCGGGGTACTGAAACCAAAGGCACCAGCCACATCGACTGCCCTGGGGCCTGGGCTGTTGACTCCCCACTTTCTCAGTGTGTGACTGGACGCCAGCTGCTGGCCTCTCACTTGGGAAAGGGAGGCGCTTGTGCCCCCTGCTAGAGGGGGTGAGGGTGCATTCAGACTTGGCAGGGGCAGGCGCCTGGAGATTAACCCTGCCATGTACCAAGATGGCAGGACAACTATCTTGTTTAATGCTCATGCTACCCCAGAGACAGGAGAAGAGAATTATTATCCCCATTTTACAGAAGTCTAGAGACAGAAGTCTCTAGAAGGTTCTGATAGGTTGCTGGGGGCAGGGCACAGGAGCTGATGCTGATAAGCTATTATCCTTCCCCTGCCCTCCCCCTTTAGGTACTGGCAATGTCAACATCCAGGAGGCAGAGAAGCTGCTGAAGCCTTACCTGAACCGGTACCCCAAGGTGAGCACACCCGCTGCTGAGTGCTCATAGCTGGCCAGTGCCCCATGGATCCCAACCAGGCCCTCATCCATGTCGTTGCAGGGTGCCATCTTCCTATTCTTTGCAGGGCGGATTGAAGCCATTAAAGGAAACATTGATGCAGTGAGTGGTGGGGGAGGGGTGTCCCTTGGGGTCCTCCAGCCCAACCGGAAGTCAGATAAACAGAGGCATCCTCAAGGACAAGGCAGACCAGGAGTGGGACCCAAGAGAGAATCAGCAAGAGCATAGGCGTGGTGAGGCAATCTGCAGATGAGGGAGGCCACCTCATCTCCAGATGGAGGATTTTGCTAAGAGATGTGGACTAGCGTTTTCCTGGTGAGGGGGTTGCTTGAGGAAGGTAGAAAGTTGGGAAGGTCACTTGTTTAGGGCATGGTGATGAAGCTAGGCCCCTACGGGGTAGAAAGGTAGTGCAGGGTCTGAGCTAAGCCCTGGAAAGAGTTAGAGATGGGGAGGGTCTCAGACGGGGCAGAGATCCCAGCTGCTACACCAAAGCTCAAAACAGATTCTACAATATGGCATTCTGAGGGTCTTTAGCTGGCCCTGACAGGACAGATACCCCAGGCCTAGGTAACCTCATGGGAATGACTGGACCCTTTGAAGGGCATTGAGGCACAGACATTATTATCGCACTGCCAATGTAGTATGGTTCTGTCCTGCCCTTTCCTTTTGTGACCAAAACTCTAGAGTCCCAGAGAGGACCAGTAATGGAAGTAAGGTCCTGTCCAACTTATAGGGTAGAACCAGACCTGAGGCCGGATCTCCTGGCTCCCCAGCCACTATGTGGAACAAGGCTGGACCGCCATGTACTGGAGGAGGCCATGGCTACTGTGATGTTAGAGGGTGCAGAGTCAGGGTGGTGCCAGGTGAGTACCCACCAGGCTGACTCACAGGTGCCCGTAGGCCATCCAGCGGTTCGAGGAGTGCTGTGAGGCGCAGCAGCACTGGAAGCAGTTCCACCACATGTGCTACTGGGAGCTGATGTGGTGCTTTACCTACAAGGGCCAGTGGAAGATGGCCTACTTCTACGCCGACCTGCTCAGCAAGGAGAACTCCTGGTCTAAGGTGGGCTCCCATGTCAGGGCATTCAGAGGGCTAGGGCTGACTCAGATGAGCTAGGAGCCCCCAAACAAAGGGCCCAAACTCTGACTGAATACTGATGGGTCAGCTGGCATTGAAACAGAGCCATGCATTCTAATAGGAGTCTGGTTGGAAGGAATGAAAAACTGAGAGGAAGTTGCTGGGCACCAATGGCACACACCTGTAATCCTAGCTACTCAGGAGGCTGAAATTTGAGGATTGCGGTTCCTGGCCAGCCTGGGCAGGAAAGGCAGTGAGACTCTTATCTTCAATTAACTACCAAAAAAAAAAAAAAAACCCATGGAAGTGGTGCTGTGGCTCAAGTGATAGAGTGTTAGCCTGGAGCAAGAAGAGTTCAGGGATAGTACCCAGGCCCAAGCCCCAGGACTGGGAAAAAAGAAAAAAAAAAAAAACAAGAGAAGCAGAGAAATTTATGTTTGGGCCTTGTGCATATTGCACAAATGCTTGATCACTGAACTGCATCCTCGGCGTGCTAGTTGAGATGTATAGTCACATGAGATAGACAACGTGGATCTCATGCATTGCTGAGTGCTCCAATGCACTTGGAAGCGCATTAACACGTGTGTAGAAAAAAAGATTAACTCTGTCATTGGGGGCAAAGCAAAGCAAAGCAGATGCCTACTCACCATAGATAAAAGTCTATCATTGGTATATGTTGAAATAAATACTAGCCGTTTCATCATGGTAATGATAGCACAGAACGCCAAACCCATCTAACACATGTGTCTAAATGACTTTAGCCCCTACTCAGTGAAGACATTACTAGTCTATCCTGGTCATCTCCCATGAGACTGTTAACCTAAAAACCTTCATTGCAAAGGCTGTCAGGCCGCTCCCGATCTGCACTGGCACATGTCAGGAGACTTGTTTGTCATCTGCACCTAGTTTCCTGTCCCTCTAGTGCTCACTGTGCATCTAGCACTTATTATTTCCTTCACACCCAGTGATCTAGAAGCTCATATCTACATTGAACATGCGCAGATCTCTGGGGTCCACAGAGCTATTGGTGACATATCCTGGATTTGAGGACCCTGGCTGGAGACTCTGCGGCCTTGGCTTTTCCCTTGCCATTCAAGTCTTCCTGAGAGGGCAGTGTGGTGCTGAGTGCCCCATGCAACCACATCCACTAAAAGTGACTGTGGAGTCCTTCCTGTGGGAAGTCCATCTTCATGGAGCAGGGGAGGCCTGGTGTGCATGGCTGTGAGGAGAGCAAGGCCTCACGGGTCATGAGGATCAGGTTAGTCTTCAGAGCTTGCTCAGTGACTCCATCTGCAAACCCACCTCAGAGGGGTTTTCTGTAGGGAAAAATGGGATTGTAGCAATCACAGTTCTGCAGTCTTTTTTGTTGTGGGGCTTGAACGCTGGGCTTGGGCACCATCCATGAACTCTTCAGCTCAAAGCTAGCGCTCTACCACTTTAGCCACACCACCACTTCTAGTTTTCTGGTGGTTTATTGGAGATGAGTCTCATGGACTTTCCTGCCTGGGCTGGCTTTGAACTGCAATCCTCAGATCTCAGCCTCCTGAGTAGCTAGGATTACAGGCATGAGGCACCAGTGCCCAACTAGTTCCTAATCTCCAGCTCTCAGCTACCACAGAACCCTTTAGTTTCCAGTTCATAGCTCTCTCTGCATGAACCAATCCCAGGAAATCTGTTTCCCCAGAACAGAGTAGGGGCTGACATGATGGACACTAAGTGGTGACAGCTGTGTGCTCAAGATTGTACACAGGGAATGCTGGGAGCCCAAAGTCCGAGGAGGGCTTCAGGAAGCCTTGGATCTTGAGCTAGAGTCTGGGAGGAAGGAGTTAGAGTGGCAGAACAAAGTAAATGAGATGTTACACCAAGCCAGAAAGGAGCCAAGGGTGAAGTCTCAGGGTAAAGTTGCTGCCAGGAGGTTGTGTGTCAGCAGGTGAGGGCACGCAGGATGGGAGTGTGGGGCATTGGAGGAGGCTCCTCTGAGCTGCTTTTGCTGTAAGCTTGAGGACAGGCATCTGCCTGGCACAGACCCCAGTGACATAGTCAGCAAGGTAAATGTTTATGGCTGTGATCTCCATCATATCCCTGGATAACTTGGATGCCTGCAACTCTAAGCCACTACATCCAGCTTACTTCTGGGGTGCATAGCCAGGGGCATATATCTTGGCGAAGTAGGGAAGCACTTAGATGAGACTGACAGAGAAACGGTGGCTGGGGCAGGACGACAGCAGGCAACGTCTGGTGGGGCTGAGGAGGAGAACAGAGGAAATGGTGAGGGAACACTGGGAGGTTAGAGGTGGGCCAGGTAACAGGTTTCTGGGAGGGGAGATTGCTGATCACAAACCCACAAAGACCAGCTTTTCCTCACGCTGTGAAGGCCAGACTAAAGCTCTGGGCTCCAGTGTGTGTGTGGCTGCCAGGTAGAGGCTGCTTTCTGTCTGTGTTAGAGTTCAAACTCTTAAGACGTCCCGGCTGCTTTCCTTTCTCACCACTGCATTTCTTTTCTTGGTTATTTTTCTTGGTGGCTGCTCCAGCAAACATGCACTGTGTTTCAAGGCTTTAACCACTTGAGGGCAGCATGGAGCCAAGGGCCTCTCCTGTGGGACTTGGGGAAGTGGCCTAGACTACTGTCAGGGGTTCAGATTGCTTTCAGGTATTGTCTAGTGGAGGGGATGAGGAGGTGTGTGTGCAGCCCCTGGTGCACTGTGAGGGCTCTGGGCCTGAGCTGACCCCACCCCCATACCTTTCTGCAGCTCCTGCTGTGTGCCACCACTGTATGCTCCCTTCAGGCCTCTCTTAGCCCTCTTAGGACTCTGAATCTTCCCATTGTACTTCAGTAATCACTGCTCCCCCAGAAGCCCTGATGTACTCGCTGTCTCTGCCACCAGCCACCCTCAGCAGCCCTGCCCAACTACTACAGGATTGGGGGGGAGGGGCAGGAAGGGGACTCTGCTGCTCCAGGGTGGAGAACCTGCTGCTTGGACAGTGGTTTCTGCTGGATTTGACTCAGCCCCAGTCTTCGGTTTGCTCAGTGCAGTCACCCTCGCTATTTGGAGGCTGCTGCGCTGCAGTGAGGTCTGAATGCGTGTTTGTGCCCGTCATGGGCTGTGAGGGAGGAGGTTGCTCACATCTGAACTGTGGCTTTGTTTCAGGCAACCTACATCTACATGAAGGCCGCCTACCTCAGTATGTTTGGGAAGGAGGACTGCAAGCCATTTGGGGATGATGAAGTGGAGTTGTTTAGGTAGGCCTCCACCACCGTGCTACCATCGTAGGCCCCACTGTGGACAGAGCAGCCAGGCACTGCCCGTGGCTCCTTGAGTGGGGTGGCCAGAGGGTGGGTGTGGGGCGGCCACTCCCCCCAACCCTCACCCTTGGCTGCAAGCTTCCTGCCCCAGCAGCGCTCCTCCGTCCATCACCCTCATGCGATCACCACCTCGTGCTGCCGCCATCGCCCTTCAATGCGGTATTGTCCACATCCTCCAGCTCTCAGCCTCTTACATCAGCCAGTTAGGACCCTGAGGTCCATAGCGGGGAAGGCCCTTCCGCCCCGTGAGTCTGCTGTGCTCAGGAGAGCACAGCACAGAGGCTGAACGGGATGAAACCACGGTGACCAAGCACAGTCTCCCCATTGCTGAGCTCTGTCACCTTGCACAAGGTCAGCAGTTATGAGAATAAGAAGCAGCTCCTTGCAGAGTCATTTTGCAACGATAGATAACATATTTGAAACCTGATATAGGACCTGGGACTTCTCAGCCCCTGCGCCTGCCCCCAAGTGCTGCCATTGTCATTCTTCTCCACGCCACCTTGTTTGGACTCTTTTGAAGACTCAAAAGGGTTGGAGGAAGGCTCAGCCATCACAGGCTGAGGGAGCCCGTGCCTCCCTAGGTCATAGTGAGGTTCTTCCGTCCCAATCAGCAGACCTGGAAGTGGGTGTAATAAGGAGAACTTCCTGGGCTACTGCTGTCACAATAATAGAGTGTTTATCACTTGCTGAGTACCTGCTACTACAGGGAACCCGCGTTTCCAGCTTGTCCAGAAAGCTGTAAATAGGCATCATAATCGCCACTTTAGAGATGAGGAAGCGCAGACCTAGAGAGGCTCTACAATGAATAACAGGCAAGGAATTGGGGGTGGCTTCACCTCTAATCCAGCTGTTTCCTGAGCCCATGCAGCTCAGGCCTGAGGTCATAGCCACACCCGGGGAGAGTGGTTGGAGGGTGTGCTATTGTGCTGACTGAGGCTCCTACCGGGCCCTGCCCAGCTTCATTCCACATTTGATTCCACCACTGGAAACAGCTGAGTAGGCCGTGCGCTCGCCAGGCTGAAGTGCTTGAGCTGTGGGTCTTGGGAGGTTCCACCCTGTCTCTGGGTGTTGGTCTTCCTGTCACACTGGGATTAGATTTCTGTTGGGCCCTTCCAGGAAGGAACCTGGGAGGAGAGCAGAGATAAGTAGGAGGCAGGGCAAGCCTTGAGGTGTCTAGTACATTTTCACCTCTGCCAGCTGTGGAGCCCCTTGCAATGGCTAGGAAATGGGGCCGGGCCTGTGAAGTGAGATGGACTGGACGGCTCAGGCTTGGCCCCTGAGAGTCAGTTCAGTTCATCATATAGACAGAGATACTAAAGCCCAGAGAGTGGCTGAGCTGCAGTTGGGTAAACTGGGGGGCTTCCCTGTTCTCTCACCCATTCCCACGATCTCTCTTTCCTCCCATCTCTTTCCCAGAGCCGTCCCAGGCCTGAAGCTCAAGATTGCTGGGAAATCTCTACCCACAGAGAAATTTGCCATCCGGAAGTCTAGGCGCTATCTGTCCCCCAACCCTGTCTCATTGCCAATCCCTGCTCTGGTGGGTAGAACATCTGGAATGGTTCTGGCCTTGGGTTTGGGATTATGGGACTAGAAGAGAGACATTGATGCCAGGAACTAGTTGGATGAGGAAGATCTTCAGGTCTTGGGGCCTGGAGAGAGTTTCACCATTGACCTGGCTGTGGGGAGGAGCACAGAGGAGCCGACATGGCCCTGCTTCTGAGGAAGTGCTGGTCCCTGGGTGCTGGGGAGACAGACCCCTCAAGGAGAGTTTCTCTCCACAACAGGCCATTCCCCAGGGGCCAGACAGCTATCACCTGTTTGTCTGTGCTCCTAGACTGTTTGAGTTGTCACACAGTTGTTTACAGAGACCAACCTTTTCTGAGGCCTTAGGGTCTCACTCATGTCATGTTCAACTCTGAACAAAAGCTGTGGCAAGTGTATTAAAGCCTAATAGATCCATAGAAAGATAGTTTGTCCAGTCTGCACAGCCAGCAAATTGGTGAGTCAAAATTTGAATTCAGCAGTCTGGCTCCAGAGCCTGGATCCTCAGCTGCTAGCAGGATGCTAATTCCATGTGTAATTTCTACAGGGACCAGACAAGCTTAAGTTTTGCTAAAAGTCCTGATGTTATTAGTAAAGAAGCCAGAAAAGGAGCCCTGGCTCTACTATTTGTGATATGTATAACTTTAGATAGAGTCCCTCTTTCCACAATATAAAGTATATACTAATATGCTCACTATATATAATGTTGTATATTAAAATGTTATATAATATATATTTTATATTATCTATGATATATATGCATTATATATATACTATGTGCATATATTATGTACTATATTATATACTATATGTAGTATATATACTACACTATACACTATATATTGTATAAAAATATAAAAAAAGAAAAAGAAAAGGGCACGGTACATAATGCTATGTGAATTATATATATAACTATATATTATATATAACTATAACTATATATTATATATAACTATATTATATAATAACTATATAAAATTCACATAGCATAATGTACCGTGTCCATTTCCTTTTCTTCTTTTTTTTTGGGGGGGGGGTTAGTCATGGGGCTTGAACTCAGAGCCTGGGCATTGTCCCTGAGCTGTTTCATTCAAGTCTAGTGCTTCACCACTTTGAGCCACAGCACCACTTCCATGCCCATTTCCAAGTGAGGGGGTGGCGGTACTGTAGGGAGGTAAGGAGAAGAAGCTATTCCAAAATCTCTAAGGGAAACTTTCCCAAAAAAGGGAGTATTTCCCAATTACTATTTTTGAGGAAAATAATGTACAGGCCTAAACCAAATTTATGTACTGTAGATTTTCTTTGAGCCTTTATTTGTTAACCTTCATGGTGAGTCTCCAGAAAGAGGTTTAAGGTTATGATGTTTTTCTTGTATTTGGGTATAGCTCTCCCTACCCCTCCACCATCGTCCCCACCCCCACCTTTATAATGGTGGATTTGCTAACTTAGGATTCAGAACAGTTTGAACAATGGATCAATAGATCTGTTCTAAACATAAATTCCCTTCCTAAAAGAAAATTATCACCATTAAAATGTCTTTTTCTTTTTCTTTTTTTGCCAATCCTGGGGCTTGAACTCAGGGCTTGATTATTGTCCCTGAGCTTCTTTTACTCAAGGCTGGCACTTTACCACTAAAGCCACAGCGAAACTTCTAGCTTTTTCTGTTTATGTGGTACCGAGGAATTGAACTCAGGGCTTCATACATGTTAGGCAAGCACTCTTCCACTAAACCACATTCCCAGCTGCTTTATAGAACTTTAATGAATCACCTTCACATCTGTTATCTGGTCTGATCATTTAAGAAATGCTCATCAAGGGCTGGGAAGGTGGCTCAGTGGTAGAGCACTTGCCTTGCATGCATGAGACCATGGGTTCAATTCTTCAGTACCACATAAACAGAAAATAAAAAAGCCAGAAGTGGTGCTATGGCTCAAGTGGTAGAGCGCTAGCCTTGAGCTGAAGAGCTGAGGGACAGCACCAAGGCCCAGAGTTCAGGCCCCACAACCGGACCCAAAAAAAAAAAATTAAAAAAAAATGCTCATCAAGCCAGGTGCCTCACTCCTGTAATCCTAGCTACTCAGGAGGCTGAGATCTGAGGATCTCAGTTCAAAGCCAGTCCAAGCAGGAAAATCCATAAGACTGGGCTGGGAAGGTGGCTCAGTGGTAGAGCGCTTGCCTTGCATGCCTGAGGCCCTGGATTCAATTCCTCAGCACCACATAAGCAAAAGGAAAAACAAGCTGGAAGTGGCGCTGTGGCTCAAGTGGTAGAGCGCTAGCCTTGAGCTGAAATGCTGAGGGACGGAGCCCAGGCCCAGAGTTTAGGTCCCATGACCGGACCCAAAAAAAAAAAATCCATAAGACTCATCTCCCATAAACCATCAGAAAACTGGAAGTGGCACTGTGGCTCAAGTGGTAGAGCGCTAGCCTTGGACTGAAGAGCTGAGGGACAGCGCCCAGACCCAGAGTTCAAGTCCCATGACCAACAAAAATAAAATAAAAATAAAAAAAAATGCTCATCAAAGATAAGAGTAATGGCAAATGAAACTTTAATATTTTGAGCTTCTTGGCAGTAAAGGCAAAAAGAAAAACCTAATCAGAATATGTTTTATAGTCTTTAGGGTAGTAACTTATTTCTAAAGGAAATGGAAAGTTGTTAATTGAGTTCCTTGGGGGAGGACAGAGAAGACAACAGTCGTTGACGTATTCTTATGCTCTATTCTCTTGGAGCATTTGCAAACTATAATTCCTCTAATACAGGGGAGGGCCTGCTAGGATAAGAAGTTTGGACAGAGAGATTAGGAGACAGCACAGCAGGGAAGCCACAAAGCAGAACGAAAGCTGGCAGCCAGGTGCCGGTGGCGCACACCTGTCATCCTAGCTACTCGTAGGAGGCTGAGATCTGAGGATCACAGTTCAAAGCCAGCCCAGGCAGCAAAGCTGTGAAACTCTTATCTCCAATTAACCACCACCAGAAAACTAGAAGTACAGCTGTGGTTCAAAGTGGTATACTAGCTTTGAGTGAAAAAGCTCAGGAACAGTGCCCAGGCCCTGAGTTCAAGTCTCATGACAGAGAAATATTGGCAGTGAGGACAATGGGGCACCTTAAATTTTCACAGGGGTGAGATTTCAATAATAAATGACAAGACTCTCTAGACCAGGGGAGACTTGCCTTGGAAGGTAAGGGCTAAAAGGGCCTTTAGAGACGCTGATCAGAGCTGCCCATTTTACAGATTGGAAAATTGAGGCCTTGTTGGGGCAGAACCTAGGCCTGACTTGCCCACCCCTGCCCTCAGGAAATGATGTACATCTGGAATGGCTACGCCGTGATTGGAAAGCAGCCGGAACTCACTGATGGGATACTTGAGGTTATCACCAAGGCAGAAGAGATGCTGGCAAAAGGCCCAGGTGACTATACTCAGACCCTGGAACCTGCCGCCCTAGGTCGAGCCTTGTCCAGGCTTCCTCTAAGCTCCCTCTAGGTTTCCCCAGCCCCTGGGCTTCCTTCAGTCATGCTGAATTCACGCTATTATCATTGTCTTAGTACCTGCTTTTTCCTCTCAGATATGAGCCCCTGAGGACTATATTTGACTCACCTGTGTCTTGGGTCCTGCATAGAGTAGGGCTCTCTTTGTAACTGCAGCAGAAATGAGCAAGCCTGCCTTCTTCCCTCACACCCATTCTCAGAGAATGAGTACTCAGCAGATGACGCGTGCCTGCTGAAACTGTTGAAAGGTCTGTGTCTGAAATACCTGGGTCGTCTCCAGGAGGCTGAGGAGAATTTCAGGAGCATCCCTGCCAAGTAAGTGCCTCTGGCTGCCCTCTGGCCATTGGGAATTCTGGGAGGAGTTTTGGGGGCTCCTCCATCCTTAACCCAATAGAATACTAAGCCCACCCACCACCCTCAGGCATCACCCATGAACTGATCACAGATTAATTCAGACTCACCTCCTGCCCCTAGGCTGCCAATTTGCTTGACTCCAGGAGCTCAGTTTCTATAGTGTTTCCAGGAGTTTAATTCAGGGGGGACTCTGCCCTTGACTTAACCTTATCTGGAGGTTAGAGACAATATCTAAGCAGCTCAGCCAGGGTCACTCAGGCTATCCCAGAGGGAAATGAACAGAAGTTGCCTGAGTAAGAACCAGAACCTAAACCTGATGGGAGATAGCAGGAAAGGATCTGCAGGGTTGACATTTATCAGGCAGAGAAAGCAAAGGAGAAAGTTTGAAGAGGAATAGATACTACATAATGTAAACATCTAGAAATAGACCAGACACCAGATGCTAGGCCCTTCGCTGCTTGAGTGGAGCTACAGAGTTGAAGTCAGTAGACTGTCTTGATCACAAGACTAAACTTTATTCTGTAGACAGAAGAGAGCCAGAGAAGGATAGTAGTCAGGGCAGACTTGGGTTTTAAAAATATGTCTTCCAGCCAGGTGCTGTTGGCTCACACCTGTAATCCTAGCTACTTGGGAGGCTCAGATCTGAGGATCATGGTCTGAAACCAGCTCGGGCAAGGAAGTCCATGAGAATTGGTTTTTATTAAATTTTTTTGTTGTTATTATGAAAGTAATATACAGAGGGGTTCATGAAACTCATCTCCAGTTAACCACTAAAAAAGTTGGAAGTAGAGCTATGCCTCCACTTATAGCCTTGACTATAAAAGCTCAGGGACAGCACCCAAGACCAGCACCAAAAACAACAACAACAACAAAAAAAAAAACACCACACACGAAAAACAAAAAACAAACCCAACAACAACAAACCTGTCTTCCAGGCAGGCAGGATGTTCAGAGAGGCCAGATGAGAGATAGGAGACTTGCCAATCGACATAGAGGAAAAGGGGGTTGGGCAAGGTAGTGGGCTACAAACATGACAAGAGCCATAGGGTGTCAGGGAGTTGGGGCCCTGGAGTATAGAATGGGAAAGCTCCACATTGGGATCACAGCCCTGCTAGGTAGTGGGAAACTCCTCAAATTGGAATTTACATCAGGAGATCCTCACAAGTCCTGAGAAATCTCCAGAGCAAACCCTGAAGAACTGCTCAAAGGCAAAGCCTGTGAGCCATGTCCTGCTCTGTTCTTACAGTGAGAAGAAGATTAAATATGACCATTACTTGATCCCAAATGCCCTGCTGGAACTGGCCCTGCTCTTCATGGAGCAAGGCAGGAATGAAGAAGCCATCAAGCTTCTGGATACTGCCAAGTAAGAGCTGGGTAATGTGGATGTGGAACTGGCTGTGGGCTCCTAGGCCACAGTGACCGAGGCTGCTGGCAAGAGCAGCATGACAGCCCAGAAGCCAAGCTGGTCTTTGTTTTTTCTGGGACCTCAGCTCTGACTGCCATAGGAAAACATCTTCCTCCATTTACAAGTGAGCAATTGGAATCCCAGAGACTAGAAGTGAGTTGCCAGGGCCTCAGCAGGTTGCAGCTCTCCTTTCAGTCCAAGGCCTCTTAGGAGCTCAGTGCGTTCACAGAGCATATACTAGATGGCAGGGGCTACATACTCTTAATCCTCCCATTGGGTTACATCCTTTTACAGGTGTGGGATGGGGGTGGCTCACACAGCTCAAATGTACACAAAAGACCTCCTGTCGCAAGTAGCTTCATGTGTCTGATTTCTTCACTTCCAGGCTAAACTACAAGAATTACTCCATGGAGTCAAGGACACACTTTCGAATCCAGGCAGCCACACTCCAAGCCAAGTCTTCTGGAGACAATGGCAACAGATCTGTAGTCTCACCAGTGTCTTTGTAGCTTTGTGCAGCACTCCTGGGCTAGAAGACCAACAGAGACATCTGGACAGAGCTCCTGGAAACATTTCAAAAGATCTCTTCCCCTGCCCCGCCCTTGCCTTGCCTTTGGGGTGCATCGTTCGGTGCTCCAGTGGGATGGCACAAGAATATCTGTGCACAAGCAAAGCCGTCAGTTTCACCAGTGTGGCCATGGCAGAGCAGGTGGGGCTTCTGCCTGCCCTGTCACACATACGGGTACTTGTTTTTCACTGTGATGTTTAAGAGAATGTATGAACAGTTTACATTTTCCTTAGAAATACATTGATGAGATTATAGTTGGCTTTAAAAAACAAAGCAAAAAAAAAAAACCCAACCAATCACCTGTACATCTTTTTTTTTAATCTTAGGGATGCGATGTAGAGGTAAATCTCTTTACATAATGCCAAAATCCACATGTTTTTTCAAATCTTCCTTTAAGAGGGCCTGGGGATATTCCCAGAGGGTCTGTGCCTCTAGCTTGGAAGCTTCTGGGAGTTGGGTATGGAAGTCACAGCCACTCACCATTCTCCTCCCATACTTTGGTTCCTTTGTTATTCATTAAAAACCAGACAAGTCTTTTTAGTGTGAGATGAAATTTTGAGTCTGTCCACAGAATCAGTCACTGGAAATGGGAATGCCAAGGCCTGGCAGAGGAGCCATATTGCGCTCTATGTGCCAAAACGACAATGTTAGGTGGTGTGGGGGAGAAAGTTCTCAGAAACCAGTCTGCCTTCTTGCTGTATACCAAAGTGAAACTCCTGGGAATAACAGGATATATAAAGATCAGCTGGCTGTATGCCTGTGGCTCACGCCTATAATCCATGTGACTAAGGAGGCTGAGATCTGAGGATCGCAGTTCAAAGCCAGCCCGGGCAGGAAAGTCCATGAGACTCTTATCTCCAATAAGCCACTAGAAAACCAGAAGTGTGCTGTGGCTCAAGTGGTAGAGCACTTGCCGTGAGCTGAAGAGCTGAGGGAAAGCGCCCAGGCCCAGAGTTCAAGCCCTAAGACTGACAAAAAAAGAAAAAGGTTAAGGCCTTGAGTTCAAGCCCCAGTTATGGCACCAAAAAAAAAAAAAAAACAAATATTTCTGCACCTCACTCCAAGATACATTTATTTACCTTATATTTATTTACCAACAGCATCTTTCTTTAAAAATAAGACAGCTTTTTCTTGGCCTGTTGTATAGGTCTTAGAATTTTTCAGTTAAGAGAAAAAAGTCTCTAACAAAATGTATATACTTAAAGAGATGGTGAAACCCTATTTCAACAAAAGTGTTGCCTGAATTCTTGGGCAGGTCAGAAAATCTTGATCAGAAGCCACATGGCCCATATGTTGTATTTAGATATGATGATTCAAAAACGTTATTATCCTTATAAAATGATAGATATGTGTCCATGGCTCATTCCTGTAATCCTAGCTACTAAGGAGGCTAAGATCTGAGGGTCACTATACCAAGCCAGCCCAGGCAGGAAGGTCCTTGAGACTCATCTCTAAATAACCACCAAAAAACCAGAAGTGGAAGTGTGGCTCAAATGGTAGAGCACTAGCCTTGAGGAGAAAAGCAAAAACAAAAAAACTACTCAGGCCTTGAGTTCCAGCCCTAGGACTGGTGCTCACATAAACAACAATCACAAACGAACTGTATTTCTGGCCACTAATTTCACCATTCCCATCCTGTTAGCAATACACCTTAATGTAACCATTTCTCCGGAGGGAAAAAATGTATCCAGTAAAAACATTCCATAAAACAGTGACTCTCTGAAAGCATGAATGTGGTTTCTCTAAGCAGAACCACTGCCAACTCTCCCCATTTTCCAGCAGTGCTGCGTGGTAGCACTTTTGAGCATCTGTCAGGGGCTGTGTTAATAATCCACAGCTTATGACCCCTGTATGTGATACTGCATGAAGTCGTGGGTTTCAGGTAAAGTGTATTCTCATCAGGAAAAGAAATAAAAGCAAGAGCTCCTTTTGCACTGACTGCTGTCAGAGTAAAAATGAATTTCAGAATGTTCTCCACAGATGGGGCCCTTCACTGCTATCCAAAGCCTGGATGCTGAGACCCGCCTGAGCTGTTGAGCAGAACAGGGAGAGGGTGGTTAGCGATATGCTGGGTGAGCATGGCTGCCCCACACATTAGAAGGCTCTGCTCTGCCCAACAGCACCAGTCACAGGAGGCGCAATGTGACTTGCAAAACGGCACTTTACAAAACAACAAAAACTTTTTTATCTCAATGCACATTTCAAGTGCTTTTGCCTTTTTATTTTAAATTTTGTCAAGATGGTTGCCTTTGCCAACATATGCTGGGCCTCATTTATTAGCTTACATCATTTTACCTCTGCTGCCCTGGTTGCAGGCTGGCTGGTGACAAATTAGTGGGTTTTGCCTTCTCAAGCTCATCTGCAGCTTCTGAGATAGTCTATCAAAAACACGTTGGGCTGGGAATGTGGCTTAGTGGTAGAGTGCTTGCCTAGTATGCATGCAGCCCTGGGTTCAATTCCTCAGTACCACATAACAGAAAAATCCAGAAGTGGGTGCTGTGGCTCAAGTGGTAGAGTGCTAGTCTTGAGCAAAAGAAGCTCAGGGACAATGCCCAGATCCTGAGTTCAAGTCCCAGGACTGGTGCGCACACGCGCGCGCGCACACACACACGCAAACATTAGGTCTCTTCTTGTACAACCATATCCTTATGCAGGGGCTGCTGAAGTTAACTTTATTGTGGCTTTCTCTTGCCAGCACCACTGCCTTGGAAGACCACTATCAAGTGAGAATTTTGGCCTAAATTCTAGTCCTGGATTATGACTGATTTCCAAAGTGATCTTAGGGAAATCATTGACCAACCCTAAAAAACAGTAAGCCACAGTTAGACTGATTCTTGACAGTTCCCATCCTAACTCTGGGCCAAGTCTTTTTCTTGGTTTTCCAGTCTGCAAAATGAGATAACCTTCCTTGTTTGTATTTCCAAGCATATGATGCAGAAACAATGGGCTGCTCTAGTGGCAGTAAGGTTGAGGGTGGTGGTAAGGGCTATTGCAGTAGGGAGCAAGTAATCCTTATTTAGAGAGTCTACATCCTGTGGCACACAGATGAACTCTGCTCTGGGAAGTAGCAACACTGTAACATGAGCTAAGCAGGCCTTTGACAACACAAAGCCTACCTCAGACTGGCTGATCACAGGCCTCCAGCTTGGCAGTGCCCTTGCTTGTCTCTATCAGCCCTCCCATGTGTTGGCGAATTTCCCCATTTCCTTATCACTTGGGTCAGAATAGGAGTGCTTCCAAGACAGTTATCATCCTAGCAAAAAGCTATAACCTGATACCATAGCTAGGTCCTTAAGAGTCAAACATCAACCCAAGTCTTGGTTGAGGCCTAAATGAGATTCTCAGCAAATGAAAAATGGTACCAGGAGGTTTTTAGAAGGCCCCACCCTGCTGAGAGCTCGATGATTTAACAAAGGAATCAAATCCCCTGTCCTCTGGAATTATTCCCTACTCTGTTCAAAGCTGGTAGGGAGTCAGTAACAATATTCTCCTGGTTTGGACAAAAAAAAAAGCCTTTTCAACACTGTTCCCTGCTGTCCTTACCACCATCATAGTAACTGAGTGATGTCTGAATTCCACACAACATGGGAAGGCTCACAGGCACACCTGCCCTCCTGATACAGCTTGCCAGGGTTAGAAAGTGCCTTTCTGCTTTGGTAAGCACAACTCCTCTAAATCTGGTGCAAAGTTCATTATTAGCCAATAGGTTAAGCCCACAAGCAAGAAATCTTACCTGCGAGCTTTTCTAAATGAGCTATCTACAAATCAAGTGAGAAAACAGCTCTTTGGGAAGGCATTCTCTAACCATGATCCCTAGCAGTTGATATTTTAAGTTTCATCAGACACATCATAGTTAACACCTCACAAATGACACACTCACATTAACAAACACTTCAGAATATTTGATGTCCTATGCTCTGGGGGAAATTTCGAATAACTTCACCAGTAGGCCTGCTTTATTCATGGGTTTATTACATGCAGTTTTGATGAGGTTTTTCTGTGTGTGGGTACCAGTCCTAGGATTGAACTGAGAGCTGAGTGCTGTCCCTGAGCTTTTTGTGGGCTAGTGCTCTACCACCTGAGCCACAGCTACACTTCCAGCTTTTCTGGTGTTTAATTAGAGATGTCTCACAAACTTTCCTGTCCAAGCTGGCTTTAAAATCATGATCCTTAGATCTCAGCCTCCTGAGTAGCTCAGATTTCAGGTGTGAGCCACTGGCGCCAGTCTTCAAAAACTGGTCACTAGTGGCTCATGCCTGTAATCCTACTTACTCAGGAAACTGAGACCTAGAGGATTGGTGTTCAAAGCCAGGCAGGCAGAAAAGTCTGGAGATTTTATCTTCCAAATAATCAGCAAAACACCAGCACAAAGCCTTGAGTCCAGACCCCAGTACAGGCAGAAAATAATAAAAGTCTCCCATGTTCTTACAACTCAGCTTTGTCAGATATTAATGTGTCCCACTTATTATTTATGCTATGCTAGGGCTTAAACTCAGGGCCCCAGAGCTGTCCTTGAGCTTTTTGTTCAAGGCACGAGTGGTATAGTTAATTGAGTCTCATGGACTTTACTGCCTAGGCTGGCTTTGAACTGCTATCTTCAGATATCAGCCTCCTGAGTAACTAGTATTACATGTGTAATCAATCTGGTACCCAGCTTCATATTCATTTTTAAAATAATTATATTAAAGATCACAGAGGTTTCTGTAGAAACTCTGTCCCTCTATTTCCCTGCTTTTATTCTTGTGCTGAGTATAAAAATCAGAAAAATAAGTAGTTCTTTCTTCAAAGTTTTGTTTTTAAATAAATGGCATTACAAGTCTGACACCAGTGGCTCACATCTGTAATCCTATCTACTCAGAGGGCTGAGATCTGAGGATTGCAGTTCAAAGCCAGCCCAGGTAGGAAAGACCCTGTGAGACTCTTATCTCCAATTAACCACTCAAAAACTGGAAGTGGTGCTATGGCTCAAGTGGTAGAGCACTAGCTTTGAGCTGGTGAGGTATAGTGCCCAGGCCAAGAGTTCAAGCCCCATAACTGACAAAAATAAACAGATAAATAAATAAATGGCATTACTCAGCATGTGCTATTCTGTAGCTTGCTTTTTCTCAGTATCAGGTTTCTGAGGTTTAGGTTCTTGAGGCCCTGAGTGTAAACCCCAATGACAGGACCAAAAGAAAAAGTTAATAAATTTAGATTTCTGCACATGCATCACAGTTTAGTTGATAGAGTTGTTCTCAGTCCCACCACTGGAAATCCACCATATGGATGTACTCCTCCTCAGAGAGAG